TGTACTGCTACCTCACTGCCATCCAGTCTGTGCAGATTCATAATGACCCAGTAGGACAGGGTCGATCTGCCCCTGTAAGTTTCTGAGACTGTAACTCTTTTCAGAGTGGACACCTCCATCTTTCTGCCCTGGAGTGACAGGTGGTTTTGCACTGTGCACCTTGTGTTTACCAACCCGACGTGCAACTTTTACCCCTGCCGAGCTCTCAAATCGCCCTCGCTCTCCCAATAACACAGCTTATACAGCAGTACGACCTTGAGTGGTTGCCAGGCCACTTAGAGCTCCTGCTAGCTTTTAGTGAGGTCTTTTGTTTAGCAATCCAGAGTGTGGCTTAACTCCTTCCATAACGAGTTAAAAAGAGATCTTTATGCTACTTTTTTTTAAGTTTAAATATACGATTCATATATGTTCATCTCTACAGCCTGGGTGTATTTGCTACAAAGACTGGGTGGGCCAATTTCTGGGGTGGTGTGTCTGTACCACACTGTTGTTGGTAAGTGTGGCCCTGTTTACAACAGAACGAAACAGCCCCCGGTCAAGCGCCATCCTCATAATTATCGCCGTGCTTATGCCCATTGTGGCGGCCACTGGGCCAGTCCATTTTGTTGACTCCCCGGCTATCAGGCGTGAGGTCCTTCTCCAAGGACTGGACCCTCCTGAGAACATGTCCAAAGTCCACGAGACAGCCCCACGTCCTCACTGCTCAGAGGCGTTCTGCCAGTGTCTGTGCCGTGGAAGATTTGCCTGGTCTTGTGGCAGTCCCTGGTCCTATGCAGCATTCTTTGCCAGCACCACAATTCAAGACCATCGATTCTGCTGTGGTCGTGCTTCTTCCTTGTTCGGCTTGCGCTCAGCTTTGCTTTCCAGATAAAATAATGTTTCAAATTCTCTTGTCGCCACCAGCTGAGTCCAACGTAATGTGCGTCTCAAACTTTAATGTAAAATATTAAGCTCAGCTGCCCATGAAGTGGGGCAAAACCCTGAAGTAAACTAATTTCCAGATGTGAGCAGTTAAGTGGGTTCATTTTCCAATCTTGTCACTAGGTTCGTGCTGGACTGTAGTTTGGCAGGTCTGCTTTGAATTGGGCCGGTTGTGTGTGAAGAGACCCAGAAGAGATCTATTGCCGGCGTGAGTGTTGTGCTGGCAGTCACACTAGTGTCCTTTTGTTTCGTGAGGAAGATCAGAAATAATTGACCATTTGATCCACACGCTTGGCATTTCCTATAAATCTGTTCCTTGTCTAGATAGCTGTGTGAGATATGTCCCTTGGTTTTTCATATCAGTCAGAAGACGTTTCTGCCTAATGTGCTGTAACCATGTCTCACTTAGCTGGAGTTCCTCCCCCAGTAACTTGCCCCATCCAAATACGAGCCACTCTTGAGTGTTTGCTGCTGTAATGGAGTGGGCTGTGGATGTGGTGCTTCTGAGTAGCAGAATGGATGCTGCCACACTTACAGCTTTACCCATGAGACCTTCCCTCCTCTTCTCACGTAGAACCCACTTCATTCAGCTCACTTACAGCCAAGCTTGAACAAGCCAAAGGGGTGTTCCCATGGCAGGCTGGGAGCAATAGTGGAGAGGGGCCGATTTGAGGGCAGTGCACAGGAAAGTAGACACGCCCACACCTCCCCACCCACACTGTGAAGACAAGCCCACCAGTGCTGCCTCTTGACTGCTTTGAGGGGCACGTAGCACATGCATCCCCAGTCCTAGTGGCTGCCGTAGTCATCACTGACCCTTGTGGTGCTGACCCTGAGTCCTGAGGAGAGTCCCTCCCATATCTAATGATCTTCGAGGAAGATAGCTACATCCTCTCTCCGCCCTCCCCTTGCTCTTGTCTGGTCTTAACACGTGGCCGCCATGTTTCTTATTCTGGTAAAAGAAGTGCTGTACGTCGATTTGGAGGCCTCTGCTAGGTCTCCTTCCTGCCTCATAGGAGTTGTCTTCTACACCTGACATCCATCCTTCCCCAGGACCTGCTGTTGGGGGGCTTCAGAAAGCTCATGGGGAAAAGTCCCATCTTCTTAACATCCCATTTCCCCCACGAACTTTCCAAAGCTCTTATTTGCATATTTGAACTACCGATGTCTTTGTGTGACGGAGTCATCTCTGGGATTGTCTGTCTAAATGGCCCTTCTCTTCCTGCTTTCTGTTACTCACCGGCCTTTGCTCTGTTGGGGGTTTAACCAGTGGTGGGTTAACAGTGATGGGTCAGTTAGTCCCGGGGCAGTTTGGTTAGCCCTTCCCCTGCTAGGGGAGCCTTGTGGGCAGTTCTCCCCCCATCTCTTTGTCCAGGTGGGGGAGATGTTCTCCCGCTAACAGTTACAGTCCCAGAAACCCAGGGGGCCCTGTTCTATAGGGTCATTATCAGTTGTAGTCGACTCGGTGCCATTGAGCAATGATCTTGGTATTTTAGTGAGATTTTGCCATGACACCAAAACACTGGATGTTGCCCAGGCACTGTTAATAATCAGTTTGACCCAAGATTCTGCAGAACAATCTGGATCAAATGTGTTAGGGGGAGGGCAGGACAGAATATGAAATTCTCATAGACTCTAGAATTCTGGGGGCCCGGAAGTTTGGATGCATCCCTGAAACTATTGCCCTGAGATAGATAATCTTGAAAACTTAAATGAAAAATATTCCTGAAATCTATTGATAGCCTAACAGATTAGCCCAACGTAAAACATGTCTGCCTGAAACATCATGCCCTTTTACGAACTGTCTATGTGAGTTCAAAGTAGCCAAGGCAACCTGAGAGACATTAACTAGGAACCTTGGGGACCTGTGGGTTCCGTCACTGAGGGAGGAACCACTGAGACAAGGAGAGGGAGCGAGGGTGGCACCACTCATCGCATGCCGTCTGTGTCAGAAAGGGTACCTGTGGAAATGGCGATCGGCTGTGCGTCTGGCTGTGTGTATATGTTCTCAGTAACAACAAAAGGCTTTAAGAATAAACTACTTTTTGATCATTGAGATGTACGAGCTGCTTTGTGTTCTGAGCGCTGATCCTTTTTTCAGCTATTATACGTTTCAAGCACCTTTCAGCTCATCACTCTTCATTACAGTGCTTTTACTGTGCGGAAGGTGTAGATTTTAATAAAGCATTTCCATCTTTTCCTATCATGCCTGGAACTTCTGAGACTTCTGAGGAATTCTTCCTCAGGGTGGACGCAAGGGACGGGCCACAGATGTTCCCTCCGAAAACCTGAGGGTGCTGGAAACGCTCCAGCTTTTATAGACTTTGCGTTTATTTGTAGTCACGGCGCGAGATTGTTGGTCCGTGTGTCTTTGAGTCCACCCGGTCTCTAGTGGCTGATGCTCAGACCTTTCCAGAAGCAGGTCACCAGTTCTTTCTTCCCGCAGAGCAGCTGGCGGGTTCGAACCTCTGACCTTTCAGTCGATGCTGATTCATAGTGACCCGGTAGGACAGGGGAGAACTGCCTCCGTAGGTTTCCGAGTCTGACACTGTGGAAGGAGAACTCTGTCTTTCTCCTGCAGAACCACTGGTGCCTGCCGGCTGCTGGCCTTGGGTGAGCAGCCCAGCCTGTAGCCCCTTGCCCCGGGGTCTGAGAGAGGGACCTTCTAATTTCCCATTGCGATGCCTACTTAGTGGATGAAATTTGGGTCACTAGCCAAAAGGTTGACGGTTTCAGCCTCCCAGCCACTCCATGGGGAAAATAGGAGGTGTTCCTGTAGAGATTTGTAGCGTGGACCCTATGGGGCAGCTTTCCTCGCTCCCATAGGGTGTGTATAAGGTCCGTATGAGTCAGAATTTTCTGGACAGCAGTGTTTGGTTTGGGTTCGGAGAAACGCGTCATGACATCATGTCGTACCGAATGTCCCATCATTTCCCAAGAGCACTTGCTACATCACCTCTGTCTTGCATCAAACTGCGCCCATGCTTGAGTCTGTTTCTAAGGCTGCTTTCTGTCTGTTGGCCAGCCTATTGCTCTCTCAGAGGACAGCTGTAGAAATCCTGCGGGCAGCTCTGCTCTGTCCTGTAGGGCTACCATGAGCCAGTTGTTTCTTGCTGCCCCGCCACATGGTTGGGGTTTGTCCAGCAGTGGCCTCCCAATTCTTCATCCTTTCCTGTGCTATATAACATCACCAGCCTCTCAAGTTGTTGTGTGTTGCTGTTTTTAAAAATCCTGTTGGCATTCTTAGTGCAACGATATTCGTGAATTAATTTGATTGTGCCTAATTTTAAATTTTACATATATATATGTATATATGGATGCTGAAATGAATACATTCCTTCTGTTTTTGCTTTTGGTACAAGAACCAGTTCCCCAAAAGTTCAGACTATTCCAAGTCTTAGTACAAGTAGATGAAATAAAAGTTCGCCAACAAAATTGGTCGTCCATATATTGGGGGTTCTTCAGAGAATCCAACCACTGAACATCTTCAGTTCTGTTCCATTGACCTGCTCTTTTGAGTCAAAGGCACCCTGGTAGCAGAGTGGTTACAAGGTGGGCAGCCAACGACAAGGTCAGCCCTTTGAAACCACCAACCCCCGGTTGCTCCTGGAGAAAAAGGCATGGCTTTCTACTCCTGTGAAGAGCTGCGTCTCAGAAATCCGCAGGGACCGTCTACCCTGTGTGGGGGGTCATTGTGAGTCGGAATTGACTCAATGGTGTTGAAGCTCGGGTTTTTATTTTCGTGGTGATTAGGTTGCTGTGCACTTGGCCCATGCAAGGCCCTCTGCTCCAGAAAGCATAAGGGTTTTGAGAAGCCCCGCGGGCAGCGATGGGGAAGATCTCCCAGCTGAGGTTCCAAGGCCATTCTGTATGGTACAGCCCACACCGAGTCATGGCTCAGCTGATGTTGGAGGAACGGGCCTCAGGCTGGCTCTCTGCCATGTGGAAGTCGGCCCTGTCTGTCGAAAACCTGCCTCAGAAAACCCACCAAGCGTTCACAGAGGATGGAGCCTTGGCTGCCTTCCAGGCGGCCGGGCTGGCATCACCTTGTGCTAAAAGCCCTATTTGTTCTTCCCTAGAGGCTGACGGCCAGCACAGGCAGCAAGCAGCGGAGCCGTCTCTCCATCATGGCCCAGTACTTGTGCAGCGTCCAGCATGTCCTGACCATCCCCGGCCAGGCCTTCATCCCCAAACCAGAGGTGAGTTTGCCATCACGAGTCTTAACATGCCCAAACTCAGCTCTCTGCCCTCACTGTTACTTCTCTAAGTGCACATCCCAGGCGAGTCCTTCTTCCCCTCTGACCATGTGTCCTCTTCTCCTTCTGATGCCCTCCCTTGGACGGAGTCACCCACAGCCCTGTCTGTGCTGATGCTGCTGGTAGTATTGACCCTGTTGGTTCAGGAAAGAACCCACCCAGTATGTAGCAGCGCCACCCGTACAAAAAGAAAGGCATTATTGCCTCCGTGGTGGTACGGGGTAGATTTCTGATGGACAAGTCCAATCAATATGTCATGAAGCATTGTTTGTTTACCTTGAAATGTTTTCCTCCCACATTGGCAAGAGACCTTGGTTTGGGCAATGTTATGTCTGACAAACGGTGTGTGGAAAAGTAGTTGGATCTTAACATAGGCTAATGGCAGGAGAGTAAGTGCTTATTACAGAAACCATTTCTTTATTACGTTTTGTGTTTTAGAAAATCATACCTATTTATGCAGAACTGTTGGTTGATGAGTCACTCTGAAAGATGTGCTATAAATAAAACACACCCAGTTCTTGATTACACGTCCATGGAGCACCAGCTCCGTGAAAAGCCTGGGCTAAGGGAGCAGGGACACAGAAATGCCACAGCCTAGCGAGGCTGGGAAGGTCCACACCGGCAGAGCCCCTCTGACACCACGTGGCCTCCATGTGCATGGTCAGAACAGCACGGGGGGATATGCACATAGCATTCGTATCTTTTCAGGGAGTCTGTCCTCGCTTCTTGCCGTTCTCTGTGGGACCTTCCAATACAGAAGGAAAAACACCAAACTGACTGCCACCAAGTTATTTCCAACTCACAGCGACCCTCGGGACAGAGTAGAGCTGCTCCGTGAGTTTCTGAGCACAGGGATACTCTGCGTGAGCTTCACTTGGTTATCTTTCCCAAGAACCCAAACTCCCTGCCATCAAGTCGATGCTGACTCATAGCAACCTTACAGCTGCCCCGGGAGTTTCTGACACAAGCTCTTTACGGGAGTAGAAAGCTCTGGAGGGGCTGCTGGTATAGAACTGTGGACCTTGTGGAACCACTGTGCCACCAGGGCTCCTAGTTACCCTTCTGGTGCGGAAAGGGGAGCCGAGAATCCTTAGATGAGGTAGACGCGATCCGACCATCAGAAACTGAAAGCATGCCAGCGAGGTCTGTCGACCCGGGAGTGTATAGATGAGAATGGAGTGTGGAGCCACGGGGCTCACGGAGCCCATGCCCATGAGCCGGCCTGCTCTTTGCCGCCGCTTCCCTACCTGGCCTGAAGAGTGGGTGGCCAGGAAGTGCAGCTCGGACCACCCCCCACCTGTGCAGCAGGCATCCTGGTCAACTCCCCAGGCCCATTCTGGGAGCCCACAGTCAGGCCTGCTTCCTCCAGACGCTCCAGGTTTGAGGCCCCTAGAAAAGGACTTCTGTAAGAGGGGTAGATCTGAGACATAACCTGATGGTTGCAAATACCTTCTAGGGTCTCATTAAAAAAAATTCCTCCCCTCCTCCCCCCATTTGATGGTGAATTTGGTGAAGGTTGACAGGTGGAGCGGTTTTCCAGTCAACGGGGCTGGTGGTTAGTCTCCGCTCGATGACTGAGGTCCGTGTGTGCCATCTCGTTGCCCAGCCCCTCCCTCACTGTGTTTCCCCTTGGCATTCTCTTCCTACCTGCACCCTTCCCAGCTTCTTCCTTGGGTAGATGGCTGCCCTTCTGGTCTTAAAGGCCTGGTTACTCTATACACCTCACTAGTGTTATTGGGCCCTTATAGGCCTGTCTCAGGAGAAAAAGGAGGCTTTCCACGCCCATAAAGAGTTCTGGTCTCGGGAACTCACCGGGGCAGCTCTGCCCTGTCCTATAGGCTCACCGTGAGTCAGCATTGACTCGAAAGCATTGAGTTTGATTTTGGTCTAGGCTTGGGTGTTGCTTAGCTGAAAATCGAGCCACAGGGTGAGTTCACTTCCAGATCCTGGGGTGATTCAAGGGCTATAGTCTCAGGGGTTCATTCCACCAGCCTCTATCAGTTTAGCCAACACCAATCTCTGTCAGCTCAGCCTAGTCATGTTTTCATGAGATGAGTATTCTACATTTTTCTCCCATTCATATCCAGGCTTTTTCAATGTGAACCTGCTCAGAGCAATTGAAGTGGTAGATAGGCATTCTCCAGCTAGTTCGTTAGTCCAGTGGGCTGTTTCCACGGGTCTGCAATCTTCATGGCTCTCCTCTACTCCAGGCAGGGCAGTTAGTTGGCTCAGGAGCTTGTCAGACCCCAGGGGCTGCTCCTCACCATGGGATGTACACACTGCCTTCTCGGCTATCTCCTGTCCGTTGACCTTGGAGTCCCCTGAGGCGGGGGTTCAGCAAATTTAACGCCTCTGTGCTTTCAGGGACTTTCCCAAAGTGGGTACATAGTCTGCTCACGGGATGTGTGTGACGATAACGTGGATAGTGACTCGACTCGGGGACAGTGTACTGATGGTGGTGGTGGTGGTGAGGACACAGTTTTATTGGAAACCACAGTCTTTACCTGCAGGCTTTTATCAGGAGGATTGTCACCCCGAGGCACATATCAATCCCTGGCAACAGGTTTGTTTGTTTTTAATGTTTTGGTTTATCTTGTTTGTTTCTTGAGGTGGTGTTTAACCTTTGTTTTTAGTGGGAGGCTTTTTATTCTGGGGTTCAGTTGCTTTATTGTGAGTGTTTGATGGTATTTAATGATTATCATCAACTTTCTCGTCTGTTGTGGGGTCAGGTGAGATATGCACATAATTGGTTAATGAATCCCCCACACACACACCCCGATTATGACCTCGAGAGAAAGATTTTGTTTTGCAAAAAGCTGACTGTGCCTTTGATCCGCTTTGTCTCCATTTGTACTTGTGCTCTGGCATGTAGACTCCCTCACAGTAATTTGCTCTGCGTGCTTTTCCGAGTACTGTAAGCACACATGCGCAAGGGCGGTGGATGTACTTGCCGTATAGGAGAGCAGCTATCAAAGAGGAGAAAGCCCATGGGGTGATAAAGGCAAACAATAAATGATTACATCTCAGTTCTGAAGGAGCGGGTGCCTTTCTGTGGCTCTGGCGTATTTTTTGCCACATTAGCTCAAACTAGGACTCTGGGGTAAGCTAAGAAATACTGAGTGCTAGTTAGATTAAGCACATGGCGTTAAGAGTTCATTGTCTTGAGTAAGAATGAAAGTCACTCCCCTGGAGTCAGTCCTGACTCCTAGTGACCCCCTAGAACAGGGCAGAGCTGCCCCTAAGGGCTTCTGAGACTAACCGTTTAGGGGAGTAAAAAGCCTCTTCTTTCCCCATCGCAGTGGCTGGTAGTTTCGAACTGCTGACCTTGCAGTTAGCAGCCCACCTGTAACCACTGTGCCACCTGGAGTTGTATAAAGGTGGTAAAATATCAGTACGAGGTTGCCTTTCTGGCTACATCCTTCTGAAGGCAGCGCCAAACGCACCAATTTCTACAGCACAAAATAAATATGCCAAGTTTGGAAATAGACACCCAGGCAAGGTTCCTGAGGACTGGGAGAGAAAGACTCGTTTTCTATAGATGAGCTGAAGGAGTTGACTAAAATTCATTCTCATTCAAAACTCTAAGAATTAGATTTGGAGAGTTCCACCCATAATTTGGCAAGAAGGGTGTATTTGTGCCCACCCTTGGGCAAGTCCTGTTAGGGCGAGCACCTGCGATCCTTTCTGTTGGTGGCTGTTGGATCAGCTGGCGGACTGAGGTCTGTGGGCGGCAGAACGCTTCTTTAGGCCACTTTCCGTCCTGCGGGGTTACTGGAACTTGACTCTTGCAGGACTCTCCACGCTCCCTCGTTTCTCTAGCGTAGGCCCCGAATTTGAACCCCAGATTCTCCCGTAGTTATGACGATAACCTCTTCGCTTCTTAAAAGTGAAGTGGTGTTTTTGCAGCGATGCTGAGTTAACAAAATAATCCCACCAGTCAAAAACAAATGGTCTTTTTTGCCGTGCAGATTTACAGGTAAAAAGTTTTCATGTTGGAATGGAACTTGGATTCCTTTTCTTTCTCAAGCTGCCTGCTGGCCTTTAAAATCCGTATATCACTGCGGTTCCACAATTTTGTTTCCCCAGCTAGTTTTCACTACTCAAGAGTTGAGTGGTTCGGCGCAATTAGGTCTGAACACCCTCCCAACCCTGCTGTTGGGGAAATTCTGACTTGTCAGGACCCTGTAAGGCAGCGTAGAGCAGGCCCCCACCTTCACCCTCACCCCTCCTTTAGCCACATCAAAGGGTCTGCGTCCGGGTCTGGTTGGCATCTGTCTCGCCAGCCCCACCGCCCCTTCCCTAGAACCACAGCCTCTTTCCAGGGATCCAGTCCCTGACAGGGATGAGAGTAGCCAGTCAGACAGCTGTGATGCCCATGTGCAATTATTCACTACACATTAGTAAGTAAGCGCACGTACACTCATGCTTACCTTGCCTACCGAGTTATCTCCACCATTTCTTCTGAGGAATGGCTGGCCAGTTCGAACCACCGGCCTCTCAGTGGACAGCCAAGCGCTTAACCACCTCGCATTCAGTGGTTCCCGTGGGCCTCTGGGTCTAACCACCCCACCCACCCACCCCCCAGACCCTGCAGGCTTGACTTCCTGTCTGACTGTTCTTCTGTGCCAGGGAGGGTGGGGGGGTGGGGATGGGGGAGGTGGGTGCTGGCGGGGCATTTCTGCTAGCAGCCGCACGCTGGGCTGGGAAGCATAGGCTGGGAAGTGAGCCCCCGCTGGGGGAGTCCCAGTCCGCCCGGTTCCGAGAACTCCCTCGGGTGAATAGGCAAACCAGATCTGCAATGGCACCCTTGAAAGAGGTTGAGAGCACGGCGTCAGGGGCTTCCTGCCCCACCTTCCCACCATTCTGTAGCCTTGACCTTGTCTGTCTGAAAAGGCCTGTCCTTTCAGGATGACTCCCCAGGGAGCCAGCCATGTCCCATGCCCCTGGATGCTGAGGGTGACATTTCCTCGTCTAGGAAACCCGAAAGCCTCTGGTCAGAAGGTCAGAGGACTCCTCTGGTTCCACCTCATGGAGGCTTTCTGGGAACAGGATATCAGATATCGGGGGCGTGAGCTCTGAAGGGGGCGGAAGGAGGCGGGACCAAGCAGAGCTGAGAGCAGCCGGGTCCCATGGGGAGAGGAGAGGCAAGACGGGGACACCCCCTCCCCCAGCAGTACTACCTGGAGGGAGGCAGGCCTACGGCAATCAGTCCTGTGTCCATCTTTCTTTGGCTGCTGGGGGCCTCCAGGAGAGGGTAGGGCCGCCCAGGAAGGCTGCTTCAACTCAGGGAGCCATTAGCACAACCCACAGCAGCTGGGCCGGCTGCGTTGGCCCAGTGGAAGGAGCCCGGAAGGCACTTCATCCACCACAGGGCCAATGGACTGCCTCGGTTGCTCTGAAGTTCCGAACTGAGCACCACGTTAAATTGCTTGAGCATCCTGCTCACTGCCACTGAGTGGATTCAGACTCACAGCCTCCCTATAGGACAGGGTTTGTTTCTAAGACGGTTTCAGCTCTTCACGGGAGTAGAAAGCCTCCTTTCTCCTGTGGAGCAGCTGGTGGTTTCAAACAGCTGACTCTGTGGTTAGCAGCCCAATGAGTAACCTCTCTGCCACCAGGATGGTGAACACCGGGATGACTTAAGAGCCTTCGCCCCTCTTGTCTTTAACCTGTCAGCGTCAGCAGTTGTTAGTTAGGTGCCGCTGAGTTGTGCTGACGCGTGGTGACCCTGTGCAGCTCACCGAAACCCTGCCCAGTCTTGCCCCATCCTCACAGGTGTTCTGCGTGAGCCCACACTGGCGGCCATGACACCAATCCATTGTGGTGAGGGTGGTCCTTTTGACTGCTGATCCTGTACTTGCCAGGGAGAAAGGCAGGGCTTGCTATGTCCGTGAAGAGTCACTCTCAGAAACCCCCAGGGGCAGGTCTACCCTGCCCTGTCAGGTTGCTGTAAGTGGGCATCGACTCGATGGCAGTGAAGGAGTACTTGGCCGAGCCCGGTGTCCTTGTCCAGGGACTGATCTCTCCTGAAAACTTGAGGCTCTCACCTTGACTAGTGGTTTTGTGCTTGGTATACCGGCAGTCTTACTGTATGAGTTGCCTCAAATCCTCCCTGGAACTGGGAGCAGTGCACGAGTCCCCCTCCTCCAGGGCCGGCTGGAAGGAAGGGCATGTGCCGTTGTCGCTGCTTTGTTCCTACTTCTGCTTACCGTACACTGCTTAGGGAATCATTAGGGAGGAGCAGACACCATTTCTGTTCTGCGGGGACACTTTCCTGTATGGCTAAAGGGCAGTGACGCCCAGGAAGAAGTTACCGGGGAGAGGAAGAGGCGCCCACCAGGGCCTGCGCTGGAACTCCTCGGGGGTCAAGAAAGTTAGGGGGGGGGACCAAACCCGCAGTGCCGACTCAACCATCCTGGAGGTCAGGGTGGAACTGGCCCTATAGGTTCTGGAGGCTGTAAATCTTCAAGGGAGTAGAAAGCCTCATCTTTTCACCAAAGAGCAACTGGTGGTTTCGAACTGCTGGCCTTGAGGTGAGCAGCCGAAAGCAACCCACTGCAAGGTGGTGAGTCTTGATGGGAGCTCCTTTTTCAATGTCGTGGATGCCAAAGTCGTGTAGCGAAAAACCCAGTGCTGAGATTGCTTGGGAATTGTCATTAAACAAATGTCCACAATAGAACATGATCCACCTGCTATGTGCGCGTGTATGTGTGCACGTGTGTGCGCACGCACGCACACACACACACACCTCAGTGTACAAACTTGGAGCTTGGGGGACTCTGTTTCAGACCGCTGCAATAAAGCAAGTGTCACAGTAAATGGGACAGTGCATTTTCCTGTTTCCCAGCAAATATAAATGCGATGTTTAAGCTATAGTCTGTGAAAAATTAGGAGACAGTTTGGAAAATTGTGAGAGGCCCCAAAATGTGACACAGGGGCATGAAGTGAGCGCGTGCTGTTGGACACGTGGTGCTGGCCGACTTGCTCAAGCTGGGTGCCACAAGCCTGCCATTGTCACCGTAGCGGTATCTAGGAGACGCTGTGCAGTGAAGAAGAGCTACGCCTGTCCTGTAGTAAGCTTAGGGACCGCCTGAGGTCACGCAAGCGCAGACCGGGCAGTCTTCCGCCACATGACCTGCATTTCTCTAAAACCCATTCCAGTCTTACTAAGGTCTCCTGCCTTAACTAAAGTCTTCATCATCTTTGCAGAATCCCTAGATGATAAAAACTCACTGCTGTTGAGTTCCTTGTGACTCACAGCGGCAGGCAGGACGGAAGAGAACGGCCTCTGTGGGTTTCTGAGGCTGTTCGAGTCAAGAGCCTCATCTATCTCCCATGGAGCAGCAGAGAGATTTGAACTGCTGACCTTGCGGTACTCTGGGCGAGTGGCATCGTCAGTGCCTGAAGGTGGTGGCCAGCTCTCCCTTCCTGCTGCATTTTCCAACAAGCTGGCTTCAAACAGGAGCCAGTGACTGCGGAGCTCACTTGACTGACAGGGAGCAGGTGGTGCTCAGGGTTGACATCAGACTTGGAAGCTTAATCCTTTTATAAAGTCCAATTAAATGCCACTTTGGAAGGTGGACCCCGAGAATATCTTGAAAAGCAAAAGAGGGAGGGGCATTTGTTCATTGCTTTATTGGTGCAATCAAACTTTGATCTTATTGTGACACTTCAAACAACGTGACAACAGCGAAGGAGCAATGAAAAACCTTACGCCAGCTACAGTTAGAACGTACAGGATCGTTTTGCTAACATTTTTAACGACCTTGTGAGTTGTTTAAGTACTCATTCCCTGTAGAAAGAGCAAAGTGGATTTTTTTTTCCCCATTGAAAATGACATTTTGAATAATCCCAGCAGGCAGCCCACGGCTTCACGCAGAGCGAGGTAGGTTGTGTTTACACGTAGTCCTGCAGGTGGTATGCCAAATGGCTCTTCATCCGGGTGGTGGGACTCCTGTCTGGCCGCAAGGGTGGCTGGGCTCCAGCCCGTGAGCCCTCAGGTGCGCAGGAAAGGCAGAAAATCATGCCAGAGAGGCACAGCAACACTGCCGCCGCGAACCCCACATAGAGGGCACTCCCCGGCTCCTGCCCCCTGCCCTCGGCCCCCGCCAGTCTCACAGAGTCAGCCACTATCTCCTTGGTGTACCATCCCACGGGGAGCAGGCCCAGGCCCCCCGCCGACAAGAAGCAGACGCCGCCTGTCAGTGCAGCCCGTTCTTTGGTTTTCCTGTTCCCTCCTAAGCGAGTGCATGCCATCCCGACTGTGGACACGCAGACCCCCAACGCTGACAGGACACAGGCCAGCACCATCATGGCCCGGGCGGCCCGCACGAGGGTGGGCAGGGACAGGACGGAGTACTTGAGGGTGCAGCTGAACATGCCTGTGCTGTACCACGTGCAGTCCGCCCACAGCCCCTGCAGCTGGGTGATGGCTGTGAGGACGTTGGAGCCCGGGTCCACATGCACCTTCCAGGTGGGCAACAGCGTGGCCATGAGCACCCCAGAGACCCCCAGTAAGGCCAGGCTGAAAGCAAAGAGCTGGAGGCCTGCTGAGGCCATGATGTGGCCCCCGAGAGTCCTGGTGCTCGCTTAGGGTGGTGCTCAGGCAAAACGCATCCGAGATCCACCTGGCAGCGGCTAGGGAAGAAGACACAGTCAGCAGGGGGGCAGGAAAGGGAGGAAGCTCAGAAGCTGCTATCGGTGGGGCAGAGGATGGGCCCCACTGCGAGGGCTCCGACCAGGCCCCACGTCCTGGCCACCTGGGGCAGTACAGGGAGAAGTGTGGCCACGTGGCACAGAGGAAGCCACCAACAGATGTTTTTCTCTTCTAATTAAAATGCTCTGTAAGTAACTAAAGTAAGGTGACCAGACATCCCGCTCTTGGCAGGACAGTCCCGATTTTTAACAATTGTTTCCGTGTCCCGCGGCATTTTGCAAAAGTCCCGATTTTTGGAAAGAATGCACGACAAGCGAGGGTATACAGTTTTCAGCTGCCATGTGGCTATTTCACCAAGATATGAGTTTTATCAATGGTGTCCCGCTTTAACAATGTTAAAATCTGGTCACCTTAAACTAAAGGAGCCCTGGTGACGTAGTTAGTGGTTACTCGTTGGGCTGCTAACCACAGAGCCGCGATTCGAAGCCACCAGCTGCTCCACAGGAGAAAGAGGAGGCTTTCCACTCCCCGAAAGATCCAGTCTGCTAGCTCTAGTCCAGGGGCAGCACTGCTCTGTCGCTCGGGTCATAAATGAGTCAGAACCGACTCAACGGCGGTGAGTCTGAGGTTTTGATAGATAGGAACCCAGGTGGCACAGGGCTAAGCATTGGGCTGCTGACCACAAGGTCAGGGGTTCAAACCCACCAGCGGCTCCGCAGGAGAAAGACGGGATTGCCTGCCCTGTAAAGATGTTCAGGGTTTTGTTTTTGTGTAGATAATTGGTGGAACCGTTTAAATCCTCCTCTTTTAAAAATATTATAAATTGAAACTTGAGAAGTGCTACATATTCAGAAAATGCTTTAAGCACAGAAACACGGATTCAGCACCCACTGAGTCCCAGGCAGATGAGCCAGGTGAATTCTTTGAGGAGAGAGGAGTGGAAGTCCTGGGTGCGTTTGTCCTTAATTTGAAGTCAAGGTCTCTCTGCAGACAAATGCCTTACCTAGGCGAGCGCTTGTTTCATTTTAGGGATAAGCATCTTCAACTAGGCCACTATCTTTTGCTAATGGAACCCTAAGAACTTTTCCTGTTGGGACCAGGGTCCTTCCTTGTCCTACCCAAATGAAGTCATCTGCAAAAGTGATTCCTCGGAGGGATCCCGAGGGAGTGGCACCAAATCTGGAAACTACAATCTTGAGTCTTGAAACTGCCATCGAGTCAATTCCAACTCAGAGTGACCCGACAGCACAAAGTAGAGCCACCTCTCCACGTCTCCCAGCTGTAAATCTTTACAGGAGCAGACAGCTTTAAGGCTAGTGGTCTCGGACTACTGACCTTGCAGTCAGCAGTCAGCACCCCAATTCACTACCTGTTACCCCACCAGGGCTCCTAGTTGTACGTGAAAGGATGCCAGGATGCCCCAAACAATCACGTTTTCCTTTCTTATGAGTGAAAACTGGCACTGCCCTTTTGTCCTGGTTGCCTCATCTGTTCCACCTGGCAGGCTTCACACCTGAGAGAGATGCGATCTTCTCTGGAATAGTGCAACACTGGCTTTTGTGCCGCCATGAAATGTCAGGGGGCTTAAGAGGATGTCTCCATCACCACCCCTAGATAGTTCATGAAAGGCAGATAGGCCCTGATTCCCACACACCCCGGCCTGCTCTGGGCTTAGCCAGCCTCTCGGGCCTCAGCACTTGCTTCCGTAAAATAAGGAGCAGAGTGGCATCCGGGCACTGCTATGAATAAATTCATGCAGCACCAGGGTTCCAACCCCTGGTTGCACTCAATAAGTTAAAGTTGGCATTATTGTTCACATTTTATTTACGGATTGTATATGTGACCACTGATAGTTCATGACATTGGGGGGTTTATTTATTTATTTCTCTTTCTTCTTTAAGCGGTTTTAGTTTATTTTCCGGGTCTCTTAGCGCTGAAGGAACTCGGCTACGCTCTTGTGCACTTGGGATGTGGGGTTCCCCCAGGAAATCTCCCATGATGCATGGGTCGGCAGCAGGTTGTCTCCTACCACACTCACTTCACCCTGCACTTCTCCTCGAGCCCAGTGCTTCCAGGTGAGAGAGAGAGAGAGAGACACACACACACACGACCCACAGCAGGGACCACACTCACTTCACCCTGCACTTCTCCTCGAGCCCAGTGCTTCCAGGTGAGAGAGAGAGAGAGAGAGAGAGACACACA